AGAAAGAAAGAAAGAAAGAAAGAAAGAAAGAAAGAAAGAAAGAAAGACGGACGGGAGGGAGGGAGGGAGGGAGGGAGGGAGGGAAGGAAAGAAAGAAGGAAAGAAAGAGAGAAGGAAGGAAGGAAGGAAGGAAAGAAGGAAAGAAAGAAAGAAAAAGAAAGAAAGAAAGAGAGAAGGAAGTAAGGAAAGAAGGAAAGAAGGAAAGAAAGAAAGAAAGGAAGGAGGGAAGGAAGGAAGGAAGGAAGGAGAAGAAAAAGGAAGGAAATGAAGTGGAAGAGGAAAGAAGGAAGGCAGCGGAAAGAAAGGAGAAAGGAAAAAAGAAACAAAAGGAGGAAGGAAGGAAGGAAGGAAGGAAGGAAGGAAGGGAAAAAGGACACCCCTGGTTTAAATCATGCAAAGAAAGAGAAACCAGCTCTGGGGTGGGGAGGCCACAATCCCACTTCCTGGATCCCTTTCCTTCAGAACTGCCTCGGATTTCTACTGGCACAGTTCGGGCACGTGCCGAAAACTCTGACGCAACGCACACCCAGGCCCTTTCTCACCTCCTTCAGAGTCACACGGATTTGCCCGCTGCCATCTCGATCCAACGACTTGAAGGCCCCTAAAAGAAGAAAGGCGGGGGGTTGGGAAATTTGCCAGCTAGGCTGGAAGCGGGAGTCAAGAGCGGGCTTAGTCTCGAGTCCTTGCGTGGCCGCAAGAGGCCTGAACAGGACCACTCCCAGAAGGTCCATCTGGTCGTTCCCAGGGCAAAGAGAGGAGTTTTTGTCATAGAGGCCGAGAACAACAAAGTTGCGGGCATGCGCTATTCATGAGTGGCTCTGGCTGCTTGCGCCCAGCACACCCAGGGAGGAATCAGGCAGAGCAGCCGAAGAGAGGCCCATCCTCTCCCCCCCACCCTTCAGCGGTGTGGCATGCTAACACCCCCGGCTGGGGAAGTCTTGGGTGAGGCTGGCCAGCCGTGGGGCAGGATGCCGAGACCCCCGTTGGGGGAGAAGCTGCCCTGGTAGCATCTGAGCTAGGGTCCCCTTCGGCCCCACGGAGGAAGAGAAGAAGGGACGCACCCATGGGCACCGCTGCCCCCCGTCACTTACGGAACATGGCATCCAGGCGCACCAGGCAGCTGATGAAGTTGTCGAAATCCATGTTCCCGTTCTCGTCCGAGTACCTGCGCACAATCATGGCGTAGAGCTGTTGGTTGAGATGAAAGCCTGGAGAACAATGGGGGTGGGTGGAGAGAAGGAAGCATAAGAAGCTGGGATTTATTTAGAGATAAACCTGGACTCTGAACAGATTAACAGAGTTGGAAGGGACCTTGGAGGGCATCTAGTCCAACCCCCTGCCCAAGAGGGAGACCTCACACCATTTCCGACAGATGGCAGTCCAGCCTCTTCTTGAAAGCCTCCAGGGATGACTTATGACCACAATCTATTCTATTCTATATTCTATTCTATTATTACTCTACTCTATGCTGGATTCTATTCTATACTCTATATTCTATTCTATTCCATTCCATATTTTCCATTTTATTCTATATTCTATTCTATACGCTATACTCTCCAAACTTGGCAACTTTAAGACTTGTAGACTTCAACTCCCAGAACTCCTCAGCCAGCAGGTGCTGAATTCTGGGAGTTGAATTCCACAAGTCTTCCATGCTTGTTTTATTCTTATTCTACTCTTATTATATTCCATTCTATTATTGTTTTTCTATTCTATTCTATTCTATTCTATTCTATTCTATTCTATTCTATTCTATTCTATTCAATTCTATTCCATTCCATTCCATTCCATTGTTGTTTTATTCTTATTCTACTCTATTATATTCCATTCTATTATTGTTTTTCTATTCTATTCTATTCCATTCCATTCCATTCTTGTTTTATTCTTATTCTACTCTATTATATTCCATTCTATTATTGTTTTTCTATTCTATTCTATTCTATTCTATTCTATTCTATTCTATTCTATTCTATTCCATTCCATTCCATTCCATTCCATTCCATTCCATTCCATTCCATTCCATCCCATTCCATTCCATTCCATTCTATATTGTCCATATCCTGTCCTATCCTATCCATTTTAAGAACTGGGATGGGGCCTTGGTTTTCTGGCACCTTCAGGTGGAAGAACTGGCACCCGATTCTGATCGCGCTGCTCACCTGCGGCCTCAAAGGCTCCCGGTAGTTCACTGCTGCCAATGGTGCCGGATCGGTCCGCGTCGTATTGCTTGTAGATGCACTGAGGGCGAGAAGGGAAGGTGATGAGAGGCGCCGGTCAGCTCCTGGCCAGGAGGCGGGAAGGGTCCTTGGGCCAGCGAGACCCGAGGGCCAGAGCCCGACTGTCCCCTAAGGAAGGAAAACAAATTTGCTACCTGCCATTTCTTGATGTTGTTCCAGAGATACTTGAACTCCTCAAAGCCCAGCTTGCCGGTGGTGTCGCTCTGCAGGGAGCAGCCGTGTCAAGGAAAACAGACGGAGGGAGAAGCCCCGGGAGGATTTGCTGGACCAGGGAAACGTGTCCCAGATACAGGGATTCTGCCCCATATCCCAGCCACACTGGCTGGGAAGGATGAGAGTTGTAAACTGGGATCAGGCAGTCAGGCTAGAAAACCAGGAGATGGTGACTTCTAGTCCCACCTGAGGCATGAAAAGCCAACGGGTGACTTTGGGCCAATCACCAGGAGACCGGGAGTTCTAGTGTTACTTCAGGCATGAAAGCCAGCTAGGTGGCTTTGGGCCTATCCCACCCTCTCAGCCCAGTCCACCTCACAGGGTTGTTGTTATGGAGCAAACAGGAGGAGGGAGGAGTATTAGATATGTTCACCGCCTTATTTATAAAAATAATAAAGGTGGGGTCAAAAAAACACCTCACCCTGAATGGGTGCGCCAGACTGGAGAAGGTTGAGTCAGACCTCCAGAAAATCGAGGGGAAGAGGGGGTTTTTTTTGGGGGGATGGGCAGGAGGTAGGAGAAGGTGGGCCCAGAATTTGAGTATCGACCACCTTCCGAAGTCGACGGTGGTCTCCCATCAGCTTGGCCACATTCCACCCTCCTACCTTAGATTTCATTTATTTATTTTTTATTTATGTAAGAATTTATAGGGCCACAAAGCTCACTCTCAGTGATTCCAGGTGGTTTATGGAGATTAAACATCTTATATATATATATAAAAAAACACAATAAAAAGTAATAATCCCAATTGCATGTTTTTTTTTTTTTTTGCAGGAAAACCACCAGGGAAAAGAGGAAGAGAAGGAAGTAAAAAAGGGGAGGAGAGAGACAGGGGTCTCCCCAACCCACTGGTCCAGCCCCTCTAAGAAGCCCCCTCCCCCAGCACCGGGCCAACCGCAAAAGGTTACGTCCATCACGGCCACCATGGAACGACAGGTGTCAATCCCAAACCCATCAGTCTTCAAATCCGGATCTGAAAAAGAGAGAAAACTGGATGGGACTTGTGAGCTTTCTCTCTTAACAGTACCCCCACCTGGGGGAAGAAGAATCGGCTGGAATTAGGGGAGCAACCATGATCTGCCTTCTTGGGGGGGCTTGAGTATTTTATTTTCCCTGGTCCTTGCAGCTGTAAATGGGGTGGGGGCTGCAGTAGAAGAGGGTATTTGTAGCTCAGGGTTGAACTGCGGGGTCCTTGGTGGTCTCTGAGCTTGGAAGTTTTCGTGCAGACGTTTCATCACCCAGCTAGGTAACATCATCAGTGCTAGAAGGGAGAGGGGTTTTGCAGGGAAGGGGAGGAGGATTGTGGGGTCCTTGGCACTCTCTGAGCTTGGTAGTTTCTTTGCAGAAACTATTTCATGACCCAACTAGGTAACATTATCAATGCTAGTAGGGAGAGGAGGAGGAGGACAGCTGTGGGGTCCTTGGTGCTCTCTGAGCTTGATGGTTTTCTTGCAACGCTGATGATGTTACCTAGTTTGGTAACGAAACTGCTTTCATTCTCAGAACCGAAACTCCTGATGTAAAACTTGGGAGGGAGGTGGCAAACCACCACCCCCGCTAGCTCTGAGTCTCTGGGGATCCCCTGAAAAGGCGTTTTCTACTTACGTCTCGTCACTACTTTGTTCATGATGTTCATCAGCTCCGTGGCGCTGACTTCCATGTCCTACAAAACGAGAAGGCTGGCTTAGAAGGAGCAGGATCTTATGAAAAGGAGGGGTCAGAATAGGGGATCGTGACCACCATCTTGCCTTTTTTGACCTTTTCCACAGCATGCCCCGATCAGGAGGGCAAGGGGCTTTTTTTTTTTTAAAAAAAAAGCCAAGGATCTGAGTTATGGGTTGAGCGACCTAACAAAAGGACTTCGGTCTGAGATCTACTATGTGTCAAGCCCGAAATTGACATGTGTAGCCATTTTATTTAGCCTTATTATATATTCCTTTTCTTTCTTTCTCTTTGCTGGTTATGGGGTGGAGGGGTTTCGGGCCACATTCCTAAGGTGGGAGGAGTAGAGATAGAGAGAGTTGTTTAGGCTAGGTTCTTCTTCCCGTGGGAAAGTTGTTTAGGCTAGGTTCTTCTTCCCGTGGGAACGAAAGCTGACCCTGCTGAGATCTGGAGGTGGAGATTGATGACGCCAGACTAACTTTGATTTACTTCTATTGGGGAATGTGACTTTTGGGGGCTGTTTCTAACTTCCAATATTACATGATGTAAATTCTGGGTTGTGTCAGATCCAGAATTACAACAGACTTTGCCAATTTGATGCTTTACCTAAATAAAAAAAAAAATCATTACGGAAGACAGACTTTGCTCTTTTTTTATAAAATGGATTTCATAACTTGGAAACCTGACACTATGATTTCAAAGCGGGTAGATCCAAGAAGGGGAAAAAAAAAAACCTTAAATTTTAATAAATCCCACTTTCTTTACTTTTTTAGGAAATTTCCAAGAATAGCTTTTTAGGCAAGCTTTTGAATTGTGACTTTTGCTGTACTTTCCAAATAGTCCTTCACTTACGAGCCACAATGGAGCCCCCAATTTCCATCGCTAAGCCCCCCCCCCTATTCCCTTATACTCACATCCCCGGCCAGTTGGGCGAAGAGTCTTCGGAACTGCCGGACTTCCTCGCTCTCGTTGGATTCGATGTTGGAAAAATGGCTACGAGGGGGCTGGGGAAGAAGAAAGGATGAGAGAGACCCCCGTTAAACTAGGAGGGCAGGAAACCCCCGATAAGCTGCAATGGGTCAGTCGGGGCAGGCTCTGAGCTCGGCTGTTTTCCTGTCGACCTCTCATTGCCAATGACATCCGTGCCTGGGGGAGCGAAGGTGCTTTAAATATAGTAGCTTGCCCTGTCAGTCTTGGCTGGGAAGGGAGCCTTCTTCCTTGACACCTTGCTGAATAAAAATATATTTTTCTTCTCTGATTGTTCAACTGGATGTTACTTGCTGGGGTGATAAGAGGCAGTAGAGTCTGCAGCTGCATAGAAGGGACTTCCCTCTTTTATTGGGTTCACCGGGAGGGGTTGGGGAAGGGGAAGGGAAGGAGGAGGAAAGGAAAGGAAAGGAAAGGAAAGGAAAGGAAAGGAAAGGAAAGGAAAGGGAAGGGAAGGGAAGGGAAGGGAAGGGAAGGGAAGGGAAGGGAAGGGAAGGGAAGGGAAGGGAAGAGAGAGACTTCCTGTAACAAGTTGGAAATTTTGCTTCCTGGTTTCTGTTTGCAAAAAAGCAAACAAATATCATCAATGAAGGAAGGAAGGAAGGAAGGAAGGAAGGAAGGAAGGAAGGAAGGAAGGAAAGAAGGAAGGAAGGAAGGAAGGAGCCAAGTCAAATAAAAACAGATCCCTTCAACCAGACAAGGAGAGCTGAAGGGGCTTACCGGAGGCTCTGGGTTATACTGGGCTGCTGCGTCACTGGTAGGCAGGAAGGCATGAAAAATAAAAACAGAATTTCAGAGAACTCTCCCTTCACGGAAGCTTTACACTCCTGGCACACATTCGTACACAAACAGGCTATGCAGTACGGCCACAACCTCCCTTCCCTCACACAAAGCTGTTCAGGATATTATTTATTTATATTATTCTTCCCAGAGAGTCCAAATCCGGGACGAGACGCTTCGCCCTGTGGTAACAGGTGTGTCTGCGTGATGGGAAAACACACGATTATACAAGCACACGCACACCAACGTTACTTTTAAAAACCTGAACAGAGCTCTAGTGTAAATGAAATGACCAGTAACCAAAGGAATAAGTCAGCACCTCCACACAAGATGCTCTCTGCTCAATTTGAGGAGGGATGCGGACGGACGATCTGCCTAAAAGGCGGTAGGAAAATTCTTGGAGTTGACTCGGCGGGAGGGGGGGGGAGGAAAAGGAAGGCGTGAGAACACACCAGCCCGGTCTGTTTCTCCCTCTTGGTTGCCCGTCTGCTGGCAGGCGGATGATCTGCTGGAGTTAAAACCACAGACGGGCTCCCCAGACATGGCCTAAGCTGGTAACTTAACCACGGTTAATGAAAAGGCTGGGCAAGACCAGGTGCCAGGAGGCAGGATGTAATATGAAATCCCAGCCCTGTTCCTGGAAAAGTTTGGCCCAGTGGGGAAGGCCTCAGGCTAGGTGCTGGGAGTTCTAGTCCCACCTGCATGAAAGCCTGAATGGATGACTTTGGCCCTATCACCGGGAGACTGTGAGTTCTAGTTCCACCTCAACCATGAACGCTGATTGGGTGGCTTTGGGCCAATCACCAGGCGACAGTGAATCCTAGTTCTGCATCGGGCATGAAAGCCAGCTGGGAGACTTTGGGCCAATTCCTCTCTCTCAGCCCACCCCATGGGAAGAACAGCAGGAGGAAGGAGTGTCATGTATATTCACCACCCCGAGTTACTTTATAAATAATAAAGGCGGGTTTAAAATCAAATACATAAATAAATATTGCATGGAAAACCCTGGGTGGGTGCAACTGCCGGGCGCTCGGAAAGAGTTTTTGCTCCCCAAACCCTACCTTCCAACCAGCCATGCTGCTCTTTTCAATAACTGAGGGTGAAAAATGTACTTAGAAAATTGAAAGGGAAAGGAAGAAGAAAAGCCAGTTTCTCTAATTCGGCGCTTCTCGGTCTCCGCCACTTTAAGTTGGGTGGACTTCACCAGCTAAGGAATTCTGGGAGTTGAAGTCCATCCATCTTAAAAAGGACAGAGGAAATACTGCTCTACGGTAACCGATCCGGCAATCAGAGATAATCCCAGACCACTTCCTGTTGTAGCAGTTTTTGCAGGAAATTATCACGTGGGAACAGGCGTTCACCGCCACCTTTTGTGCAACTGCCATCCGGAAATGCTGACCTGAATTTCAACTCAGCCTTCTTGCTTGTTGGATGGCGGCTGCCTCGTTTTTGTTGCAAGGCTAAAAAACCAGTTTGGCCGTAAACAAAAACCCAGCAGAAGTTTCTCGTAACTGGGATCACCCTGGGTGTCGTCCCATGGCAATAGACCCAGATACACACACACACACACAAAAAATATGGAAGCACCTTTGTATAATTTACTCAGCTTCGTTCCCAGCCCTGTTTCCTGAGAAGCACTGAAGTCAAAAGTGGAGAGGGTGAAATAAGCGGGGGGTGTTAGATTTAGGGCAAGGGGGATGCAAGGCGATTTAAGGTGGGTGTGCAAGGGGTCTGCAAGGTGACGGAGGGAGGGAAGGGCAGGGAGTTTGCAAAGTGACCTATGTGGTGGGCAAGGGGTCTGCAAACCCAAACTCCAACCCATCATCCTGGTTCTTCACCCCCATCTTAAGCCATGGCTCATTCCAAAAGCAGAGATCTGTTGACTCGTAAGTTACTTTCCTTTGTCAGGGGAAAAACCCGATTGTGAGCATACCTGCACTCAGCCCCTCCCCAAAGTTTACTGGGCTAGAAGAGGGGGTCCCCATTATTTTCCCCTTACACCTTTCCACAAAAGATTTAAGGTGTGGGGTCAAATACAGGTAAGCCTCCACTTCTGGTATAGAAATCAGGTTGCGTGTGAATCCGGCTGGGATGCAACCTTCCCGATTTCAGCTTTCTCCGCATGTTGAGATACACAGAGCTGGGCGCATAAAGGGAAGAATGAAAGATGCTCATATTGGCACAAAGAACCCGAAATGCAACATCTCATAATGCAAGTTGCTAGACCATAAGGTTTTGTGTTTATTTTTGAGCTAAGCCTCCATGTTTGCAACACCTTTATGTAGCATATCACTGAAAGGAAAGTGGCAACTATGATTCAGGAAACTTCCCTTCTTGGAGGTGTGGAAAGTACTTCAGACTCACCAAACGCAACCAGGGAAAGAACCAAATCCTTATCGTTCTAATATAAAATACAAGTGCAATAATATAACACTAAATATTTCCCCTTTTATTGTACATCTCCCAGAGTCTCTCTGTGAGTGAGAAGGGTAATCTCCAAAAGCCAAAATAAATAATAAATAAAATAAAGTAAAATAATTTAGAAAGAGAGCATACTCACCTGATGGCACTGATGACTCCGCCCAGAATTTTCATGGCTGCTCCTCCTTGGCCGCCCCCACCCCCTCCCCCACCTAAAAATCCTCCGATTACGTTTCCAATATTGATATTTCCGCCACCTCCGCCGCCACCTCCACCGCCTCCGAGGAAGTTTTTGACAAGGAACATTTTCAGGAAGGGCTAAGAAATAGGATTTAATGCAGGGGACCTGTTGAGAGAGAGAGAGGGAGGGAGAGAGAAAGAGAGAAAGAGAAGAGAGAGAGAGAGAAAGAGGAGAGAGAGAAAGAAAAAGAGAGGGAGGGAGGAAGAGAAAGAGAGAGGCATAGCAAAAGAGATAGGAGGGAGAGAGGGAAGGGAGAGAGAGAGACAGATACAGAAAGAGAAAGAGAAAGAGAGAAAGAGAGAGGAGAGAAAGAGAGGAGGGAGAGAGAGAAAGAGAGACAGACACAGAAAGAGAGAGAGAAAAAGAGAAAGAGAGAGGAGAGAAAGAGAGGAGGGAGAGAGAGAAAGAGAGACAGATACAGAAAGAGAGAGAGAAAAAGAGAAAGAGAGAGGAGAGAAAGAGAGGAGGGAGAGAGAGAAAGAGAGAAAGAGAAGATATGGTAAATGATCATAGTTTTAATATGGTGCAGTACACCTGGAGTTTCTGCCTAAATACTTTGTATTTTAATTCTGTACAGTTACTTATTTGCAAGCGGAAGGAAAGAAAAACAGAGAGAAAACAAAACTGCAAAGCAAAACTGGCAACCATTTTTTAAAAAGAAATAGAAAATGTGGTGTTTTTAGAGCAGACCGTCGCCTCCTTTGGAAACAGAGGGCAACAAGAGAGTTACGACGGCGTGGAAAGACCGTCAGCTCATGAATTTTACAGAGAAATTAATAATATTTATCCAAGAAAGAAAAGCTCCAGAAAGAAAGGAGCAGGAGAGTCAATGGCTGTGCAGAGGCCCCTGTTAAAAAGAGGAAAGCTTTTAAAATATGTCAGATCTTTAACGTTTTGATGATTCATGGCGAAAGATTCTTCTTCTTTCTGATGAAAAAAATGACTGGATGCCTCTTGGAGGGAGCGGCCACAACTCCCGAAAGGCTCTTTAATCCAAAGAGTTAAACAGGGGAAAATAATAATTCCTCCAAGTTGTCAAAATGTCTCCAAGTTGCCAGAACTGAGAACCTGCTTCAATGTGTAAAAGCTACACAGAAATTACTCACTTGCCACAATGAATCCGCCTCCTACCCTTCATGCATCGGATTCAAAATCTCACTTTTAATTCTTGGATACAGTAGCTAACAATTAAACCTCCCCCATTTAGGAGAAAAAAAAAAGACTGACTTCCCATGTCAATCACTGGTGGTCCTGGACTTACAACCGGTGGCATAGCGACCGTTCAAAGTTACGACTAAGCACCCCCCTCCTCCCCCAGATTTGAAGTTCTCACAGCTGCCTATCCCACCCGACGGACCTGTGACCAGCATTTCGGGCGCTCGGAAACTGGCCCACGTTTTATATTAGAATAGAATAGGGTAGCAGAGTTGGAAGGGACCTTGGAGGTCTTCTAGTCCAACCCTCTGCTTAGGCAGGAAACCCTAGACCATTTTACATCCTGCGGTCATATGATTTACGATGTTTTGAACGAGGACCCGCCTTTACTTCCCGTTTGCAGGAAAAACACCCCCTCCCGTGAACAAGCCGTTTGCTTAATGACCGTGAGGTTCACTTTACGACCGCTGCAAAATAAGGTGGCAAAATTGCCCGGGGTCATTTGACAAATCGCTTAACAGCCAGCTCTATTCATTCGTTCGTTCGTTCGTTCATTCATTCCTTGGACAATTCATTTCATCTAGAGTCAACTTACAACCGTAGCTGCAGGCTTAATAACGGTCGTAAGTCAAGGACTACCCATATGGGGCAGAGAACCAACTGGTCACCATCAAGTGGACTGAAATCAAAGCAGAATTTATTTATTTATTTTTTTAAATAAAGCCATCAACAACAATCTACTAGCAGAGAGAAAAATTTTGTCCAAATCTACCACCTCCAAATGATGTAGTATGGATTCCTGGACTGAGTGAGGGGTCAGACTATAGGCCTCTTGGGTCCCTTCCAGCTCAGCCCTTCAGATATATTCCCCAGGCAGTTCCCTCCCCTTGAGAAGGCTGGACTCCACGCACCAGGCTCTCTGCCAAGAAATGAGGGCTCCCCCTCCCCCAAGACTCAGTTTTCCCCCCCCCCGCCCTTCCCCCCCACCTGGATTCCCCCCCCCCCCCATTAGATGGGTGTGGCAGGGAAAAATCACTATATAAAAGAACCATACCCTCTTCAGGTACTACACAAATAAAGCTGTCATATAGCTGGATTTGCAAGCCAGGGTTTACTTATAGTTTACTCAATCCACACAGCGCCCTCGGTTTGCATCCAAGCGTGGAGTACCTGCACCATCTGGTTTGCATAATATATACAGAAAAAAAGAGGTTTAACTTGAGAGTTGTTTAATGGGCAATACAAACTCAGTAACTGGGATCACCGGAGAAGCGACATCCAATAAACCAGTGTTTGTCAACCTTGCTGGCTTTAAGATGTAATAAAAATAAATAAAATAAAAATAAAATTCTGGGAGTTGAAGTCCACCCGTCTTAAAGTTTCCAATGTTGAGAAACACGGAAATAAAGAGAATTTCGCACTAGGTCACCAACCTGTTAAGACACGAAAAAGATTGTGGAGTACGACACCATTTCAAACCAAGCCTTCGTTACGCACCAAAGAATGTAGCGTGTGGCGACTTTTCTGGGTTGTGGACTTCAACTCCCAGAATTCCCCAGGGAGACTTGCAATTCCCAGAAGTCCCCTTGATGGCCCCGGGGAATTCTGGGAGTTGAAGTCCCCCACTTTGAAACTTGGCAAGGTAGATGCAAACTGGGAAGGAAGCCCAAGCAAGCAATCCTCTCGCAGAACGGCAAGGCACCAACTCCACCAGGGGGGCAACCGTTTGCGCTCATGGGTCTTGGAGTCCCTGCAGGGACCCCAATTGGGGGTCACCCACTCTGGCCTCTATGGGGGCCGGCTGCCATTCTCCATGGCCATCTTCCCTCCATTTCACTGGTCCTGGTGTAGATCTAAGCTAGGACTATAGTGGCTCCTTGGAAGATGTTGAACTACAACACCCATCACTCCTGCCTGCTGGCTGTGGCTGATGGGAGTGGGGAAGTCCAAACAAATGAAGGATTGTTAGGGGGGAGCCCAGTGAAGATCTAAGCAAGGACCGTGGTGGATCCTTGGAAGAGGTTGGACTACGACACCCATCACGCCTGGCTGTGGCTGATGGGAGCGGGGAGTCCAAAAAAGTGAAGGAGTCCAAGTTAAGGGGAAAGAGAAGAAGGAGACGCTTGAAACGGGGGTTCCCAGCCTGGTCCTCTCCAGTTCCCCCTGGCTGGGCCTGATGGGACCCGAAGTCCAACAGCTGCGTGCGAGGCACCCGGCTCCCTCTGCGCCCCCCAATAAGGCGAGGAGAGCGGAAGGGGCCCCAGGAGATCCAAAGAGCCAGAGGACCCTAACCAGGAGGGATCTAGGGGCGATCCCCTCCGCGTAGGGCGCAGGAGAAGCGATCCACGATTGATCCCGGGGAGCGGAGCGGGGGACGCAGAAGGCCAGGCCGGAGTCGGCCAGAGCAGGAAGCCGATCTCCTCCCGCGGTCCGGCGAGCGGATCTCCCAGGAATCCAGCGGGATCCAGCGCAGAGGGGGGGAAAGACCCCGCGAGCCCCCAACTCCCGAGAAGCCTCCCCCCCACCCCCCCGCCGGCTTACCTTGGCCGCCAAAGGCTCCTCGGGGCAAGTTGTCCGGCGGGCAGTGGATCTCCGGCGGGATCTACCACGCCCGGACGACTCACTGCAGCGGATCAGCCGGGGGAGCCCGCGGGGTCCTAGCGCCTCCCGGCCTGCGAGCCAGACTGCTTTTTGCAAGCGGGCGCCCTCCGGAGGCTCTCCGCGGCTTCCTCCCCGGCTGTCCCGGGCATCATTGTTGGTGGCGGGGAGCTGTGGCCGACCCAGACTCGGCCCGAAACGGATTGCAAAGGGGCGCGGTGGAACCAGAGTTGGACCAGCCCTGGGCCTAATGCATTTCCTTCATGACTGAATTAATTAGACCTAATGAATAGGGGGCACGTGGACTCCAATTCCCAGAATCCCTCGGCCTGATGGAACCCCCTCTCC